AAGAAATTGAGCACACAGCCAATTTGTTTTAAAATAATTAAGTGAAAAACTGGGACTTTTTTACAGTTTGGGTACACTCAGCTAATTGTAAATTAACCTTTTGAGCGCCAAAGTCGTCTATACGTGACCAGCACCCGCGGGCTCTGAGCGCCAACGACGTCTATAGTTGACAAAAAACCCGGCCCACAAAAATATGAAATATAGACATTGGAAAATTATTACTGGTATTTTAATTTTACACCCCTCAAAAACGAATAACCCAGCAACACGTGAGTATAAAAAACAAGTCTCCTAGAGCCACAAGTACTAAGAAACATTGAACTAAAAAAAAATGGATTTTTATCTAAGCAAATGCTATGTCCAGCACGCCAAAGTCGTCTATGTTTGACCGCTAGTGTTGTAATGCGTTAGGCATAAATTTATTGAAAACTATTCAAAATTAAGCTCAAACGTGTTTTTTTGTCTATTATTATTGATATTTAAATAAAACAAAAGGTTAGAAATATAAAACTATAATTAGCTACATGAATAAAAAAAATATCAAATTATCTTCGCATAATAAATCTAATATCTCAACTCTGGCGCATCCTTACCGCGACATCGAAAATCAGTTCACTGGGCGCCGTGGTCAAGTATAGACGACACGCTGATGACGTCATAAGCGATTAGCGGGAAAATTAGTGCAGTGCAACATGAACGATTCCTCAGAACTCATTCGGATTTTGGAAAGCGTCGACGATGATGAATTTTCGGAATCTGAATCATTACCTGAAGATTTAAGTGAGGTAAGTGTCTTAAGTTCCTAATAAATTAAACTTATTTCACTAACATGCATATTGCCTATTTTATGTATCTATTATTTTATAATATTTTGTTTAATTTTAAATATAATAAGTTCGATACAAAATGAAACTGTTTCCCGGGCGACTCTTGTGAGCACATTTTTTATGTTTTTGTTTTCGAGTTTAGAATAACTCATCATGTTCGTTTACTTTTATACTGCAACTAGTAGATATTTTTTTCTGACAAAAAACTAATGGTAATATTGTTTAGCGAAATAAATATCTTAAACCATATTTCACAATAATCCTTCCGAAAAGTAGGTACCGTGAGTAGACAGCATAAAGCATTAAGGTCCAAAATAGTATATCGACTTTCTACCTTTCGGCATTACAATCGTTTCGAATAGTATTGTGAGTAGACTAAAAATCAATGTAATGGTAAAACATTAAGATCTAAAATAGCGTGTCGACTTAGTACTAAATTGCTCTTTTGTTCTCGGCGGCGACGTTCTTTTTTTGTTACTAACACTTTCGCGTCTTACAGTAATCAAAGGCTTTCTCACACATACAATCTACAATGATAATAATTACATACATTTTTCTTCATGACAAGTTTTGTCGTGAATTGTATTTTTTTTAATCAAAATATTGTATTTTTACAGAGACATGTATTATGACTGGGGTCTTCATCAATTGGACACTTTAGTTGAGAGAGTTGAGTACGATGACAACCATTTTAAATCACTTACACGGTTTGGATATCATGCACTTCATCATTATTTTCCAACGTTGGATCATGCAGAACTGAAATATCTTTATCCTACCTTTCTTGAGCACTGCGAGAAATTTGGAGTTGAATTTCGAACATCCACATATTATAAATCGTTTATTAGTCATAGTAAGCAATTATTAAGGAAACGCCTCAACAATTTTAAAGAAAGAAGAACTTTGTACGTTAAATAGATACGCTATAACTTAACGTACAGAAAACACTTCTGACCATACTCTAATAAATGACTGGATATTATTTTTCGATGACTAATAAATTAGGATTTTGAACTATATACTTCTTGTAAGGAAATAATATTATTTTTAAAATAGTAAATAGTAATATAAATAGTATTTATAAAGTAAAATATGTATGTTTAAAAAAAATTAAAATTATTCATTAATGGTATTAAGTTTTGACTAGTAGGTCTATTGGTAGCGTTTCATTTTGTGAATTAAGAATATAAATTACTATCCTCGATTACGAATCAAAATGCAGATGCGCTCTCACCCGTGAGGACTTAGATGGAATGCCTCGTTTCCAGTAAAGAGGGTCTCCGGTTCTTTACACTTACCATACGAAACACAGCAGCATTAAGCTATTATTTGACGCCGGTATTCCGTGAGAGCATGGTTCTTCCCCGGTTGAGCCGACCCATTCGTGCTACAACTACTCTCCCGTAATATAACTACAGCATGGCTCTACCACGTTAAAAATTTGCTTTGGCCAGCTAAACATTTGTTTTATTATTCCATAAGATTTTTATTATTTTAAGACTAATATTACCTATAACTTATTAATTATTTTTAATTGTTGTTTTCTATATTAAGTACTGATTGAGTTAAAGACCAAGATTTTAATATTTTAAGACTAGACCTAGTGCAAATAATTATATACAATTGTTGATTAGTGAATAATTATGTACCATTTGTTGATTTATGTAATAAGTAATTAAGAAAAAGATTTTAATATTATAAGACTGATTTTTCTAGTGCGAATAATTATATACAATTGTTGATTGGTGGATAATTATGTACCATTTATTGATTTTTATAATAATTACTGATTTTTTATTCCATGACCAAGATTTTATTATTGTAAGACTGATTTCCCTAGTGCGAATAATTATATACAATTATTGATTGGTGGTTAATTATGTACCATTTGTTGATTTTTATAATAATTACTGATTTTTTATTCCATGACCAAGATTTTAATATTATAAGACTGATTTTCCTAGTGCGAACCTATGTACAATTGTTGATTAGTGAATAATTATGTCCCTTTTTATTTTAATAATATAAAATTACAAATAATAAATGTGTTTTTTTTTACTTAAGGTATGAAGAGCATTCATTTTGTGTTGTGCGATTTTCTTTTTCAATCTCAAAATCATTTAGCAACATCAGCATCATATGAAACCCCCATTGTCATAAGAGCGTGACTTTTCTTCTGTGATTCACTTGGCCTACGCCTCGCCATAAAATATTTTGAATCGATGTCTGTATATTTTGGTTAGATCGATTTTGAAATCGATACACAACGTGCGACACGGCTACATCTCTAAGAAAGAAAGTTTCAAAAAGAAAGGTCAGCTACGCCGTTGTCGTCCAGTCGTGACAGTGACGTCATCACGATGGAGAGTAGTGTTGTGGTTTACTACTATTTTATTGTTATTGTTTGTTTTTTATTTATGTACAAAGTACATATATAAAAAGAGTGGAAGACAGCACAAGATTAAATAAAACATACCCGATTATAAAGAGTCATTGTTTAAAAAACCAACAAAAACCAGTTATTTTGTGTTATCGATATATCAACTCTTGGCAGCACTGTTTTTTTCGTAGGTATTTTTGTTTACTTTTCGCTTTGGCGTACAGGACACGGTAGTGAGTTTTTGGCGTGGCGCTCAAAAGGTTAATAATTTTATGGTTCTTATCAAAACAGAAAAATATCTTGATTTCTGGGGTGAAATATCGATTAACTGTTAAATATGGGTTTAAAAACAGATCTTTTTCCAACAAGAAATCGATTAACTGATCTCAGATCATCACTTGCTTAAGCAAGTCGGAAGAAAGTTATTAATAAATTATTTATTATAAGTTACTAATAATTATTATTAAATTAATATTTAAGGCTAGCTGAAAAGTGTAGCCTATTGTTAAATAGCCTATACTATTCCTCATGAATATGGCTATCATATACAAAAATAATTTATCAAATCGGACTGGTAGTTCCAGAGATTAGCGTGTTTAAACAAAAAAAAAACCTCTTCCGCTTTATTATATTATTAGTCCATAGATTTTCTCATTTTCTCATTCTATCGTAGGGGTAGGTATGAGTCGCAGCGCTAAGGGCCGCGGGTACGAACTTACAAATAATTGTTCCGGGTCTGGATGTTTGGCCTTGTGAAATTTACATAGTTTATTAATTTAAAAAAAAATTAACAATGAAATTGCTTCTTTAATAATAAATTTTACTTTGTACTTTTCTTTCTATGTTTTCCATGGGAGTTACAGATATCTAGCAAGCAATGCTGAAATATAGTCACAAACCATATCCCATTATATCGTTTTTTCATGTGCAATTTTCCTGATTGAATTTTTCACAATGGCATGTGACATTGCGATATCTGATTTTCGAGGAAAATTTAAATTAAAAGTTCAGGAAATACTGTTTTAGAGAAATGTTGCATTTTAGAGCCAGAAAAAAATGAATTAAGTAAAGTTCATCATTTTTTGATAGTTTTTGGACATTTTGTTATGAAGAAAGTTAGGAAAAACTTTACTTAATTTGATTTTTAAAGTTATGTTTTGTGTTTCGTCCACTGATTTGTGGAAAATTGATTGAATAATATTTCACCTCAATTTTAAATAGCACCACCCTGGTGGGAGAAAAAGGACTGATCCCTTTTAGTCGCCTGTGCAATACTTTGTACCGCTGGAACGAGTGGAAGATTACAGTTCTATCCTCATGTCTTCATATTTTCTTTTATTTTTTTACCCTCGCAAACAAGGGGATATCAAGAACAACAAGCAAAAGTTAATAAGGAGTTACCGAACATAGCCAGTTGTAAACCACAACTAAAACAAATATTTATTTATGAAAGTGAAAATTGGAAATAAAAACAGGTAGGTACACAACATAATCTCATATATATTCAAGTCAGTAACAAAATAAGTTATTAAATATTATTAACTTTAGTTGCAAAATAAAAACATTAGTTTGTAATTATATTCTTTTAGTAGAAGAAAATATTTTTATTAATATTATGTGATACAAGAAGCATGCACTGATGCATTCTATGATTACCAGCACAAAAAATTTTTTTGACTTAAAATAAGTCTATAGATGACTTTCTTCTTTTTACAATCATACTAACGTAGCATTATATTATCAGACATGTTTCAATAACTGTTGTCCTTTTTGTTCAGTATAATATACATCTATCAAGACATATCTTTACCCTCATTTTCTGTTACAAACAAATTTTTCAAAGCACCTTTGTCTTGTTCTGCCTTATCTTTACACAACTTTTTAATTATTTGTAATTCTTTATCTACTGTCGCTACTAAGGATGGATTCAAAGCTTTCAAACGTTTGAAATCCTCTTCAGCTTGATCTGGGTTCCACGCTCCAACATGTGCTTTGGCTCTCCTATATAAAGCTTTTTCATTATCTATAAGAACACGCAATTTTTATTTAAATTTAGCAATGTTGTACTTACAAACAAGAAATTATAATTAAAACTCGATAGCTGTAACACATTATTTTTATATAGTATGTATATAAATGATAGTTTCAAGCTATGTTAAGATTCGATAGATTCCACTGTAATTCATGTTATTAACACTTTTATGTTTATGGACCAAAATAACTTGTGTTCACTATAAATGTTCACTTAGTGCCAATAAAAGTGTGTGAATCTGGCCATCAGTGCTACTGAATCTGGACTTGATAGATGGCACTGTAGTTTAGCTATTAACTTAATTTATAATTACACTAAAATGTCTGAAGTGAAATTGGAGAGAAGTCACAGATCGGAAATCGCAGAACAATGCTCGCTGTTCAGTCGGCCGGGCTTGCTGGTTTTTTCTTAGTTATGCACGACTAATAAAATATTAAATGACACTTGTCAATATGCGCTTTAAACAAACGCCATATTGTTTTTTTTTTGTATTGTATTTACATACATATTTTAGATTTCTGCACTTCTCTCCATATAAACTTTTACTGTGTGATATTTCATAATCCGGCATGTAGCATATACATAAAAAGGTGTACAAAGATGTCCCTGTACTAAGGTGCAATCTATTCAAGACTTATAGGGTACTAGCGATCTGCCTCGGCCAAGCCTCGGCTTCGCAAGGGTGATGATATCTACAACATCGCCATCTACCGTGACCAACTACGCCTATAACCTTCGCAGAAGTGCAAGTAATATGCTGACAAAGTTTTAGCATTGATGAACGGTATGGCAGCTCATAAAAATCGAACAAACAAGAAGTAATTTTTATCGAATATAATATATAATTTTTTTTTCAAATGCATGTGTGCTGTATTGATTTCCAAGCAGCAGTGCTTGCAGTGCTGCATTCCGGTCTGAATGGCAGAGAGAGCTAATATCCTTGTCATTATATGGTCCGTAAGTTCTTTTGTTACTTTGTATAAAAAAAATAAAGCGAAACAACTATTCCTTAAGTCATGTGAATTTATAGCATAACTTATTTCATAGCAGCACATATCACCGCCGATCATGTTTTAAATCAACACTTAAAATTTCAAATAACAATATCTATGTCTGGAGATAATCGAAATCAGTTTATTTGCTTAATATGATTTTTTTAAGGTGAGCTCTTATCACATGAGCTACCACAGCTTGAAAAAACTTATGAGATCAACACAACACATTAATGAGACTAATGATGTTATATTAAAATTGACAAAATGACATACCGATATCATGTTCTAAAATAGTGTTACAATGCTCAATTACTGCATAGAAATCCCCTTGGACTAATTTCACCTGAGCATAATTTAGTAGAATTGGCAGTTTAATTTTATTTAAGCTAATCCATTCTTCGTCAGTCTTTCTTTCCCTGTCAAAGACAATATGTTTAATTAAAATGATTTCACTGGACTACCACACAGTGTTAATCATTGTTTTTTGGTCTTCCTCTTTAACTTTTTAATACAAATAATCATCATTATAGATTTTATGACAGAACACATACCTTATTATTTATTAACAATATACATGATTGGTTTTAGCCATATACTTAATCTAATAAGTATAGTTTACATGACTGTCTTGTATCCAAGAAAAGCTAATAAGGAACCTCAATAAAAATACTGACTTACATTTATTTTATTTATCTCAGTTCTCATAGAACAGACACATGAATTTATTCAGTCAAGCATCATATGGCACTACTACTCATATTAGTAGTCATATTAACGTAATATTCACTGTTAGCGACGCGAGATAAATATCTCATTAAATCTTTCATAGTTTTTTAAAGATAAACATTAAATTCATGATTATTTTTATAAAATGCTAATTTCTGAGAAAAGCAAGAATATTTGTAATAACTTGAGCATCACAACATAGCAATCGGTTATGTAATACAAATTAAGTATTAAAAATATTTTCATTTAATTTTGATAATAAATGTTTTAAGCACTGATAAGACGTATCATTAATAGATAAGATAAGGAGAGTTTAATGCTAAAATGGAATGTATATGTCCGACTGGGATAAGCCTAAATATTAGAGGAATTCCTCGTGTTTGGATCCCGAGGGTCGCGTAAAATTGAGTGTGTCAACTATTTTAGGCAATTAACAGAAATGAAAAACGCAAGTCTGATCAGTGTTTTAAGAATATTAATTAAAATAATATTATTTATTATAGTATTAAAATGCATGTAATAGCGATATAGTAACGTTTTGAATAGATTATGTAAAATGAAAACGATAAGATGATAAAAATGTCAATAAAATTTAATTTTAGTAATAAAATAGCGAAATATTATGGAAAATATCTGAAACAATTAAATGTTTTAATTTTGCTTAAAAATTTTTAATTCTTGTATTAACCCTTTAACGCACACCTTAACCTTTTTTTTTGAATTCCTCATATTTTGTGATACATATATATATTCCGTGCCGTAAATCATGACGTTATATTTTAGAAAAAGTACCTGAAAATTGTTGTTTTTCGAGAAAATCTCGAAAATCATGTGGCCAGTAAACAGGCCATTGAACGTTCTGCGTCACTAACCATCGCTGCAAAATTAACATAAAATAATCAGTCATCAATTACAAATATAATTAACATAAAATATTTCTTCGAAAACATACGTTTTAAATTTTTCTTATCACAATCAAGCATAGTAATAGGTATTATCAATTGAATGATACGTTATTTAATTTGCCCTTAATTATGGAAATGTATGAATCTGTAATTGCGCGCGCCGAACTTGAACGATGGTCTTTTGACGGGCTAGGCTATTCTAATGCAAGTCGAAAATGTTCATAAGAATCAATATTCAAATAAAAATCTCTGAGATAACGACCTTGAAGTTACTGTCCAGTTTACTGGCCATTTTGTATGAGCCGTCCTATGAAGGGTTTAACCAACTGTTGTATCGCATAAGATATGTGAAATTAGTAATGAAAATTGAAGTTCAGCCTAAATATTTTTTAGTTTTATGGCATTTATTTATACATGGTAGAGCCACACTGCAGCTATTATAGTTGTAGCATGAATGGGTCGGCTCGAACAGGGAAGGACTACGCTCTCACAGAATACCAGCATAAAATAACAGCTTAATGCTGCTGTGTTTTGTATGGTGAGTGTAGAGAACCGGAGACCCGTTTTACTGGAATCGAGGCATTAAATCTTAGTCCTCAAGGGTGACAATGCATCTGCATTTTGATTCTTAAGCGTGGTTAAATGTAGAAATCTATGGGCCACAGCAACCACTTACCATCAGGTGGACTGTGTACCTGTTTGTCACCCTTATCCTATAAAAAAATAGTAATAAAAATTAAAACTTAAAATATTTAGGCTGAGCGCTTGGCAAAGTAGCCTTTTTTTGCAACTTCTACATTATTTAGCCTACCTTAGCATAAGCTGCTCACACATTGCTATTGCTTGACTATAAGCTTCCTCAGCCTTATCATATTGTTTTTGTCCATACAATTTATTACCTTTCTCTTTTAATTTAGGAATCATTTCCAACCTTTCTTTTATGCTAAGTTGCCATATCTCTTTTTCATACTCATCAGAACTTTCTACCTTAAGTAGCTCTGAAAAAAAAAAACCAAAATAAATCAAAAATGAGAAACTAGCATCACAATAATTAAAGAGGTACAGTTTTTCTAGACTCTTTCTAGTCCTTTTTAAAACATTTTCAATAATTTTAGTTTCATAAATATTTAAAAAGTGAGGGTAGCCTTGGGAAAGTGTGATGGGGTAAGCCACTCTCAGGTGTTGAGAAACTCGAGATATGGTTGGAAACTAAACATGTTTGTAATTTAATAGTGGTTTGAGGAAGGTTGATCCTCCTTAACTATTTTAAAACATATTATTTAACATATAGGGGCTGTTCAAAAAATAAAGAAACATAAAAAGGTCACATTTTCTTATCTTGAAGTTGAGATGTATATTGAAAGAAGATACCTACTCCCAAATATTGTATTTTTATGAAGTGTAATGAAATGAAATTAATATTAAGTACAATAGACAGAATAAAGGCATAATTTTATGCATGTGGTAAAAAAAAGATTTCTTGTATTACAACAAAACTCTTAAAAGAATTTAGAGGGCATGTTTGTTTGACAATGTACTAAACAAGGAAATATAGGTTACCTATAATAAATTCCAGATCACAGGGATTATTAATCAAATCATCCAAATCAGGATATCCGATGCCTTCTGTATGTAGAGTCATTGTACAAGTGTGTTTCACTTCGTGTTGTTCCTGACCCAGATCTCGTAATGTTTTTGATACAAAGGGGTAGCTATATACTAGCTGTGGAAATAGTTAATAATAATTTATCATAAAATGTTAACTATGGCACAGATAGTGGATAAAAAAAATAGAAGTGAGGATAAAACTCGAAACCCTGGAGAAGTGGTAGAGAATACCATAAGGTACAAAGTTTAAATAAATAATTAAGTAAACCCCCATTTATTTGGTCAATAAAACGTTTAATGCAGGTGACACACTGGTTTATTTGTTCCATCAAAAACATTTAATCTGTTATCTAGTTTATTGCATGTTTATAAGATACTCGTATATTTATGAAGCTGCAATAGGCACCTGTGGTAAACACTGTTGTAGTAAGTTGGTGACACACAATTACATTGATCCTGAAGGAAGAATCATCTAATGCAGGCCACAAACATATGCAGTTATTATAAACATCTGCCCTGACACTATATTATTTTTAGCAACATCTTGATTTGTTTTTAATTTTTTTAGCAACATCTTGATTTGCTTTTCTGGTGGGTGACTTCCTAAAAAATTTAACTATTTTTCCGCACTTTCTCTATTAAATTTACATCCCCGTATAAATGTAGGTCTCGGCCTATGTTTAGATGTTGCTCAACTGCAAATTCTCCTCCCACACTATCGCTGTTAGAGTCAGTATCCTTATTTGTTTCCTCTTTGCTACCTTCAGATTCTTCTCCTTCTTCTTTTTGCTCATCATGATTCTTTTTGTATATAGCATCCAGCACTGCACATCATGTGCGAAGCATAATTGACAATACAAAGGCACTTGTCGACTCATACCACACATCACTCTTGCAGTAACTACGAATGCTATGTCTCCTTCCAAAGATAGACTTAGGATGCTAACTTGCCCTGCAAAATATTAAGTTATTCCTTTTCTGGATAGTAGATGAGTAGACAAGTAGGCCGTTGGCAAACAAAACTCACTCAAAAAGACTAAAACCTCGATGACAAACAACAAAATTATAACCACGCTCCGCCGTCCGCACTGCACGCGCACAAAATGCAGATGGCAGATAAATGCACAAGCAAAGGCACCAAACTACCAACACCACTGCACTGGTACACCAGCGCGGAGAGCCCTATAATCGAAATATCGCACGCGAATCTTAAAAGTAATATTTTGTACACATCAATATTTCGAGTTTGGCTTTCAGAAAATGGGTTCAAATATTCGAATATAGCGGATTTAATATTCGAATATTTGGACAGCTATATTACTCGAATTATTCGAATGCAAGGCCTAGTGAGGATGATAAAAGTTCAACAGTGAATGAGTCATGTGCTCTAATAAAGATATTGAAATTGTATAAATGCAAAATATGCATATGTAAAACCTTTACCTCTTTCTTAACCTGAAAACTAGCAACTTCACCAACGGCCATCATTTTAACAACAGATTCCCACACCTCTAGTTTAAATTTGTGTCCTATAACTAAGATCATTGGCTCTTTTTTGCCAATTTTCCTACTATCATCAATCAGCACTCTCTCTTTTCCCAGTTTCCATGTTTGAAAATGAAAATATGCCTGTAAATTATCAAGAGAGTAATCAGTTAGTGTTAATTTTTTGCCTATCCCAGAATAATTATATAACTTGTAAAAAATTACATCAAGAGTAATATATCAATACTATTAATATATTTAGGTTCGTGTAAAATATTCATTAAAACTGTTGAAAATAAAAAGTTTGGGGAAAGAGTATTCAAAATTAGATATATCCTTGTTAATAAATTAATAACAAAATAGTTAAACGATTTTACCTTGCTTCCATCAGCAATAGGAATATACTTTTGTCCTGCATGGATAACATTTTTTATAACAGGCGCTTCTTTACTCATTCTATTCTTTTAAAAGGAATGATGTTTGTAACGTTTGTTCATAAATTAAAACAACGTCAATCGTCATACACAAACAAATTTCAAACTTTAGTTTCTGTATCTGGTCTGGTATGTCAAAAATTCTTATATTTTTTATATACCCTTTGAGTATTATATATTAAACCAAGGAACCGTGGATAAATAAATATGTAGAAAACTAGCAAGGAATTGAATTTTCAGTTTATACAAAGGTACTCTGTGAATTGAATTGAATTGAATTGAAAGAGAAAAAAAAAAAAAATAGCAAGAAATGAAATTGATGTCGAAGTACATAGATTACTGACTATTATACTAGAGTCTATAGTCAGTAGACATGTGTCGATCATGCATGATTCGTTCGTTTGAGCTGGTACACTTAAAAGTATTGATGGTTCATTCATTTGTTTTTGAATGTACCAGTACAACCAATCACAAACAATTGACGGTACCTTTTTAACCCGCGATTTGTTTGAATTGTGAATGAGTCGCAAACCAACCGAATCCCGAATGATCTGAATAAACAGGCGCATCGAATTAACAATGCAGACTGCAGAGCATAGAGTAGAGTAATATATACACAGAACACCATTACTCCTAGCGGAGAATATATACAGAAACTGCAGAGTATCAGGAGTATTTATTATTTTAGGGTTTTCTTTATTATAATATTGTTACCTAAATTAAAAATCATTTTACATTTAAATCTATGAGTTAAAAATATCGTTTTGTAGAGTTTACTAAAAATAACACTTCAAAAGATTTTATGTTAATGACTTATTTAATGATAATTTTCAACCATCTTATATAAATAAGTTAGGTAAAAGTTTAATTTCATAGCAAATAAATATTTCAATCCCTATTTTTAGACATGTAAAGTAAGATGAAATTGTGTATGTTCAGACTCACAGAGTGTTAGGAACGAAATTTAACATTAAGCATATTTATTAAATATTTAAATATATGATAACTTGAGGTTTTTGTGTTTATGTCATCTAGCGTCGATTGTCCTTACCACCTTGAAAGTTAATAAGTTTAATTCGATAAAATGACTTTATTACCTACATCATGTAGTAGATGGCGCTATTACAAATCTTAAATTTTCGGTTCCCAATAGATCTCACAGACTCACAGAGTACTGGAGCCTGAAATGATCCATTTGAATGATCGATCCGAATGTACCAGTACGCGTGACGAAATGTACTAGAATCGTTCGCTAGAAATGAGTGATTCACACATGTCTAATAGTCAGCAATCTATGCTAGAGTCGAAGTACCTATCCTATTACCTACTCAAAGGGTGCGTTTGGCAGAAAAAAGCGCTAGCAAGCGCTTACAAGTGCTGAAATAGTTTTCGGCCAGGACACGATTACTACTTCAGTAGCGCTGACACAATCCGCCACTTTGCTTATTTAATTTGTTTGTTTTGAAATAGAGTTTATAAGTTGTTTTGTGCAATATTAGTTTTAAGTAATATAATAACGTGAATAAACATATACATGTTATTAAAAATTCATGATTGGTAAGTTTTTAATATGAATACTTTAAAGAATTAAATTAGGTTAGGTTCCTCGGTTAAAACTAATATCGTGTCCTGGAGGAAAATAGCTACTTACGATTTGACAGCGTTTACCGCTTATGATCGCCATTTTGCTTACAAGCGCTTGCTAGCGCTTTTTTCTGCCAAACGCACCCAAAGACTGTCAAAGACAATAATATCACAGACCACAGAGTACTTTTTATATAGACTATAGCTATGGAGTGAAGAAGCATATAAAAATTGGGAGTTGGTACTCCCATAGTAGAATATTTGAAAAAGTGGCCACCTGTAAGCAGTAAATAACAGTTCAAAAACTCTCCACAACAGCGCTGGAATAGCTACTGAGATGAAATGAACTTAGCAGTTGTCGAAGTTTGAAGTATGCTGCTGAACTGCTTAGTAGCTCTAAAATCTAAAATAATTTTATTTAGTAAATATAACCTCGAAAAGTCGTGTATCCCACTAATATTTTTCGGCACGTTCTTTAAAATTTAGCTCGTAGCTATAGTGGCGCCACCCTTATTTAACGGTTTTCTATGGACACTTTTTAATAGACAGTCTGTACTCCTTTACTTCTACACTCCATAACTATAGCCGACTATAATCTGCCTCTGCCCTATATAGAATAAATGTATTATCTTTGGACTAGAGAATACTACGCCAGTGGACCATCTTTAGAATACAGATCCTGCCTTACTTTGGTTGCCTTACTTAAACCTGCCAAATCCTACCAGTCTGTAGTGAAAAATGTCTAAATTCTGCCAAATTTATATATCATTCATTTTTTTGGTATTTGTTTTGCAATAGATAACCGTCATCATTATACCGAAAGTGATTGAAAGTGCTGGCAGAGATATTAGGTCTAACGTGCTTGTGAAGAAGAACGAGACAATAACGATCCTACATAACCGTTTTCTTAAGATGGAGTCCGCATGGCATATTTGACAGGTAATTTTTAGGTCTGCCGTAACAATAAAACTCCTCAAGTTTTTCGGTTCGTTATTGGTTTATAGATTTCCTCGTCTCATTAATATCACGTGTTTATAATGCATTGTTTTTATTATGTTTTCGGCGTTTTTGAATACACCGTTACCGAAATAACTCAAAAATGCAATGAAGCAGCAGCTTCGTCATCTAAAATTGTAACGCAGGAAAAACTAAGAAATGGAGAAAAATATTTATGATTTATACAATTTTGATATGTAAGCTAAGTATGTCGTGAAGAAAATTCTTACCATAAATAAAAAGTTGTTTGTAATTGAAAGCTGACATTGGCTTTAAATATAGCAGAACGTCGTTGAGGAGTATTTTAAAGACAATGGGCTACAAATACGAAAAATGCCAGTCTATATGAAAAGTATTGATAGAACTATTTATTTTATTGTAAACTGTTTGTTGACCCAAATAAATGAAAAAAAAAGAACGCGCTATGCTAATAAATGACTTACAAAGTTTCCATGGGCTATTAATGTCATTCTTTATAATAAATATTATAATGTATTTTCAGACAAAATATAAGTGTTCATTAATGTTAGTAATAGTTATTTCTAATACCCTAATATCTTCACCTGTAATTATGTAAAAAAATGAAGTTAAATCTGACCAACTTCTCGATTTCAGATTGAGCTGAAATTTTGCATACACGTTAAGTTTGGACATTAATGTATGTTTAAATAAATGACGTCATTTTAAATCCAGTATGGCGGACTACCAAAGGATGAAGAACTAGTTATTTTTTATGCCTTCCCATGATATGGGTATTAAATGAAAAGGTTTGCTGAGAAAAATACCGAATATAGCGTGTTTTTTTTTTGTTTTATTTTTAACCATAATATTTTTTGTGTCGAACTCGGTGGCATAAATGAAAATATTCAAATGGTTATACTAATAATTTATATAACCGTGAGTCTTACCACAGAATAATAGACAAAATATATGTCTAACTTACGAACGTTAAATTCAAGAAAAATTTGTATTACGCGGATCATAGCAGGAAATATAGGGTTTAAAAAATTACTAAGTCTTTGCAAGTTTAAGCTTAGCATTACAGTTTTCGACTGAGCTTTATTAATCAATTCGGTCATTTATGTAATTTGTTTATAATTAGTATAATTCTTAGTAATGAGATTAAATGGAGGAAATAATATTAATTAAGATGGCAACATTAAGTACAATACCAGTCGCGCGCAGACTTGTCTTGCGCGCACTATACTTATCGCTAGTACTTTTTACTAGTTTGTGGTTTATGCATGGGTCGTAATGGTCGTAACGTCTTTTGGACGTAATTGGTTGTACGTAGTTTCGTGGATACGAGTAACTAGTTTCAAAACTGCTTATTTTTGTAATTAGTTACACCTGTAAACAGTAAAGCACAAAATATGTAAGTAGCTAAGTATTATTGTGCATCACATCACATAAATTTTTATGATCCTCGTAGTCCACAAAAAATCAACCTAATGTTTACATCAAATTATTAATAATTTATTTGCAATACCTAATACTTATATGTCTATTAATGTACACTAAATGTTTATTCACAAAGAAACAACAGAAACACCCGCCAAAACTCCCCCCCCCCCCCCCCTTCCCCCCCCCTCCCCTTCACTCTCCACACCCAAACCACCCCTTCTTTTTTTTCCCCCCTGCCCCCCCCCCTTTGGAATCCACCCCCCCCCCCACAAAAAAAAAAACTATACATGTAATCATATTTAAAAAAAACGCAAAAAGTTTTTAAGAACACAGTTCATAGACTCGAGACAATAATATTCGCATAGAATTATCACACGTAATATTTCTATGAACATTCGTCAATCATCCCTTGCACTTGTTAACTGCCTAGAATTCTAATAGAAAGTAGACACACGGTCAACGGTGAAGGTCGCAATTTCTTAAAAAAAGTTATCATAATGAACTTTAAGTCTTTCCAATTGCATATAAATTCGCATGGGCTTTAGCATTTAAAAAAATGGCACCGACCAATATATTGCTGTCTCTTTTTATCTTGCGTGTAAGCCATACCTACGCCGAAAGGAATTTTTACTCTCGTTGTGTGAGTCGTATGTCGTATTACGTATCTATAATCTTAATAATAATCTGTTCTGTTCAAAACGAAACGCTTACGCAATACGCGTGCACCGTTCGTTGTGTGTGTGAAATGCGTACGTAAAATAATCGTTACATTTTTGTCCACGAAACTGGGTATACGACTATTAGCCTTGTAAGCAGTTTCCGAAACCGATTACCATAAATAACGTTCCCATCTATTGTGGTTTCTATTAGGACAGTTATTTCCAGGTATATTACTCTGTGACAGTTACTATACTCTTTGGTTGTCTATGTCTATTGTCAACTATTAATTGTGATATTTCCGATATATATTCGTAATCGTAACTTTATGTTTTAATTTGTGTGGACAATAGTTTTATCGTAGACTTATTTGTATATAG